GAGGTTTTAATGAAGGTCATTATTGACTCATTCCTGTCCAGCGTACAGTATGTCTTTTTGCACACACATATAGCTGCTGAACACGATCATAACACTTCAAGAGTAGAGGAGGTAGGCATGTCTGCAAGATGTGCATGTTCATGGATTTGAAGTGTTTAAAGAATAATGTGGGGAGGTCACTGGAAACATGATTTGATGGCAATGATAATAATAAAATGGAAAAGTTCTGCCAGTAAAGGAACTGGGTTTAAACCACGACATTATTTAAAGACTAATGTGGGGAGGTCACTGGAAACATGACCAGTTCTGCCAGTAAAGGAAACCAGTTAAAGAAATGCGTATCATTGCAACACACAGAGAATAAGGACGCAAAGCTAATACTGGATAATGTCATTAGGCAATTCAAAGTATTATGCTGAATCATTTCAAAGGGAACTATCTGGTCCAGAATTGGGATCTACCCTTTCTTTGCCCAGTATTTTGAAGATATGGAAACAAAGGAGGACTACCAGCAACATTCCCAGAAACATACACATTATACACAGATTTGTGCTTGGCAGGAGATCTAGTAGATCTAAGTCTGTATCTTCTGTATTTTCCTTTTCTTTGCAGTCTGAAAAAAAAAAACACAAAAATATGGAATAGCACATTCCGTTCTTAGCAAGGACATGAAAAAGCCCTTGGTCAGAGTTTCCGTTCGGGTGTTCTGCTTTTTCTGAAAACCTAAAGCCAGTCTGTGTTTTCATTAGTTCTTCTTTCTTTAAAAGAAACAAAATAAGAAAAAAGCAACAAAACCAACAACCCAAAATGTAATTTAATTACTAATAGCACTGTGATTAAATTTGGCCTTTTGCTTTCCTTCACAGTCAGCCTCCTCAATTCCATCTCCCTGACGCCTTTCTCTGTAGTATTGATTCAGTATTGTTAACCTTTCTTTATTACTTGTTTATGTTCCCCCATCAGTTTAAAAACATCAATAAGAGGCTTTTTAAAAAGGACAGAAGCAACAAATAGAGAGACATTGAGGAAAGGTCAGGATGCAGAAGGCTCCAGTGCCTACTTTGTGGAAGGAGCAAACAGACAGTACAGAAAGGTTAGTGGTCCTGCTGCTGAAGAGAAGGAAGGATTTGCTTATTCTCTAGAAATACCTGCTGCTGGTGCAGCTTTTGCAGCAGACACAAATATCTGTTCTGCCCAGTCTGAGCTTGGGGCTACTGGAAAGGGCCAGACCTAGCTTCAGTAATGAAGCTGAGTGAGATGGTCTGCAGGATCTTTTCCTTCCGGGATCAGGAAGTTTTCAGTGTGTTTTGGTGTTTCTACTTTCTTTTCACACATAAACCCAATCTGAGGGCATTAACTGTTCTGCAAAGGGCTGTGCTGAGTGGATATGTGTTAGTTGGCTGTGACAAGGAAGCAGAGTGGCTGCATCAGCGTACGACTGAATGCATTCAGCCATCAGCATTTATATCCTCAGGACAAGCACCACCCAGGAGTCCAAGATAGCTCTCCCTGGGTCTCTGATGAATTAGGAAGGCAATACTTAGAACTGTACAATCATAATGGTATTCATTCAGAAGCTACAACTTCTACTTCTAAATAGCTTTCTTGTTTAGAACAAGCTTGTGCTGTTAGGGAATAAATCCACTGCTTTTATGCAGTCTCTCAGATTTATATAGCTGAACACATACTTTAATATGAATAGTCTTAACAAGCTATTAACAATTAACAAATGAAACTTACAGGAAGGTTCCACTTTCGTAAGATACTGAACACCTGCAAAGATCTAAAAATCATTTAAAAGGGAGGGAACTCTGTAATAGGTGGTTTGGGTTCTCAGCAGGAGTGAAAGAAAACCAATGTCATATGCCTGTCGTGGAGTAGTCTTGAACTGGACTACTTGCAAGCCTGAGAGTAAACTTAACCATGTCACTCCTTTGTTATCAAGAAAAGATCCTAGTTTCAGATTTTTCTAGTCTTCAGAAACTCTGTCTTGTGCTTGAAAGGGTTTTCCCAAAGAAATAGTAAAAAAGTACTTCTTTTTTACTTCTTATTTTCATGCAATTCTAACAGCAGTAACACTTGTAGTTTTCAGAAAACAATTGCTTGCCCTGAAAGCTTTCCTTCTTTTGCAGGCCAGTACAGGGACAGTGAAGGAAATACTATTCGACATAGTAAAGATTTCCACTCCACACATTCAGAGGGTTCTACTAAAAGAAGAGACAAAAGCCACCTTAATTGTTAAAGATACGTCTCTCATGACCTTTTAAGAACAGATGTAATGACATAAGACATATCATCTCTCTTCAACTCAGAAAGTTGTATAAATGATATAACTTTACTATTAATTCTGAGAAGTGACATTGTCATTAAAACAGTTCTTAAGTGTTGCTTTGAAACACAGAGATGATCAGCTAGCATCCTTCAACAGAATTTATAGTATTGACAGGTGAAAAAAAAAAAAGCAACAACAAAACAAAACAAAAAACAGCCCAGAAATAAAGCAACACCTTTGATCTTTATGGTAGGTGCAACATGGTCAGGATACTGGATTCTCGTTTTACTTCTGTAAATAAGACGATGTATGAGGATCAATATTCTCTCTCACAATAATGTTGATGACTTACTATGAAAGTTCACCTGACAGAACAATTTTCACTCAAACTTCATGAGTAGACATTTCCTCCCACCGTACTTTTCAGTCTTAAAATGAGATCTTTACTAAGCACAGTATGGCTATTTGTACAGAAAGAATGACTATTTATATTAGGTTGCACAAGGGAATTTAATTTTTCTGAGAGGTATCTTCCCATCTATAAAGAATGTGTCCTGGCTTGGGCTGTTCAGTTACTCCATGAGATCACTAGTTTTGACATTTAGCTCCTTAGGTCTCATTTTCTTCATGAGATCTCTGGTTTTGACATTTAGCTCCTTAGGCTTCATTTTCCATCCCAAGAAATAAAGCCCCAGAGTTTAAATGCTACTCATTCTTCATGTTCAGCTTTTAGCTAACATTATGGAAAGACAAGGGATAATATAGATTTCTCCTTTTGACTTTCCAGTCACCTGAAGACCTTTACAGGCAGTCAATAAAAGTGTTGAAGCTGTAATTTTTCTTTTCTTTTGAATTTCTTCATTCCATTACATCATGGATATTTTAGCCTTAGGCATGTTGTTTTGCTGTTAGTTTACAATAAAACTCTTTGCTAAACAGTAATTTGGAATCTGACCACATTTCAGGAGGGGCTAGGTACATCTTGTACATGGCATATTAACAACAGTTCTGATATGAGATTTTAATATGCAAAGTTTGGGGTTTTTTTGGTTTTTTTTTTTTTTTGGTTCAGAGAGCTTTCAAGGCTGACATTGATATAGAAGGTTGTCATGAAGCTTACCGTCCCAAGAACCACATTTTTGGGTAAGATTTCTGGCATGTCCTGATTCCAGGTGTGACACATAAAGAACTTTGCACCTTACAGTGTACCTGAAGACTTGCAGTGCACTTACAAAACATCAAGAGTGACAAAGTCTACCACTTCTTTTCCACCTAAGAAACTGTTGGAAGGAACAGTGGCTTAGCTGTCACCGAGGCAGAGATCATACAGGTACCATGTTGCTCTACATCTACAGAAGGTATACTTGCAGATCACACTGCTAGATGACAAAAAGGTGGAAAGCTAATAGAAGGAGAACAATCTGTGTGATTCCATCTCAGAAAATAAAAACTGCACCCTTGTTTTCTTAGTCAGGTACATTTCTTCATTTGGAGAATGTCCAGTTGCACGGTAAAGTCAGCACTACCCCTGCTATAGGATTGGTAGATAAAACCATTGAGGAACTGTTGCTCTGTGCTTGATTGAAGAACACAGTCCCACTTTCAGGCTGATCAGTTTTAGAAATGAAAATGAGAAGAGGGAGGGTACTCCCTGGGCTGTGTGACAAGGGGATGACCTTGCATTAAGTCATTTGATTCAGCATAAGAGCTGGGTCACAGTGTCTGTCTTTTATTGTCATTATGTTATTCCAGTAACGGGAGTACAGAGAGACATAGAAGACATTTTTGTCTGGAAAAATCTGGAGCCAAACTCTTTCCAGTATTATCTCAGGAGCATGAATAAAATCCTCTCTATCATAGGTTTGACTTAGCTAAATCAAGATGTGTCTTCTGTTTTACCCTGGTTACTCCTCGTTATTTTTCTGCAAACACTGAGGTAAGAGTTTTCTGCAGCAGCACACTGACCTAATAAGAGTATGATATGTGCAAGAGAAAAGAGTTTCTGCCTGAATGGCCTTTCTCGATACTCTTTATTCTCTTCTTTGGAAATAAATTTGTCACCCAGTCAGGGAATGAAAACGAAGTCTAAGACAGCAATGAATGATCAGTGGAACACATATATCTCCTATACCCAGTTATGTGGGAGTTCCAGTCCTTGATGACAGTTAAGAACCAACCTATTATAATAAATAGGCAATAAATCTTCATTTACAAAACCCAGACAAGAAGAAGTTCTCTTTCTTGAATGTTGTGAAGAACGGCAAGTGCCCAATCTCCAGGAGGAGAGATAGTAAAATAAGTGGTTTGCTCAGACGGTGGAATAAATGGTTAAGGCCAAAGTGAGAAAACTCATTTCAGCAGCAGAGAGAAATGACGACTAAGCCTTTCAAGTTAGTGTTTAAGAGTGATTCACAGAGGTCTAAGTATCTACTGTGTAACTCTCCACCAGGAAAGCTGACATCTTCAACAAAGTCAATATGGGTTAACAGAGGAGATTAACAATCACTAATGATATTATTAGGGAATAGGTCTTTGCTTTCCTTTCATAGAGAGTGGTTTTGCCCTTCTTAGATCCCTGGTGTAGGTCATCTTAGATGTATAGGTTCAAGCAGAAAAGAACTAAATTTGCGCATATAACAACCCAGTAGAGAGATACAGGCTATTGGAAGCAAGATAGCTGTAGGAATACAAGCAATATCACAGAAACAGTTTCTGCCTTCACCTGACAAGATTTTGCTGCTTTCTGGACCAAGCTAAAGTCTCTCCATGGTGCAGCTGTGTGGTATTGCTATGTTGAATGTCTCTGTATGTTTTTACACTGAGTGATGTAAACACCCCATAAGAAAGCCTATACTTTCTGTGAAAACCCTCCAGAAACTGCTGGTTACAACTCACTAGCCTGCAAAACATGAAAGAAAGATGCTGGAGGTGAGGTGGGCTACATCTTACAAGGATGCAGCAGCAAAGCTCATTTTTAGAAACATACCAAAAATAATTATAAAAAAAAATTAACTTCTCAGCAACCCAAAATGCTGTTTCAGTCTCTCTTGTCATTTTCTCTTGTGCCCAAATTTGCAAATTAGAATGAAGTAGCTATTAACTGTGGCTGAAGAAGAACAATTGTTGCCTTTTCAGTTAGCCAAAAACTCATACCATAAGAAATCCCCAGCTCTCCTGAAGAGAAGTTGCAGAATAGTCTGTAGACTATTCTAGTGGAGGACTATTACAAATAAAAGCCACTACTTGAACTAACCTATTAGAATAAGAATGCCAACTTTTTAAATCAACACACATAAGCTTAAGAATAATAAAGCCAGACAAATTTGAATTGGAAAATAGATTTAACACTGTACAAATATTAGCAGTACAATGGGGTATTAGAGGAATAATAACACTAACAAGGAACATGAAGATTCGCTATTGATGTCTTCTTGTGAAGGATGGCTTTGTAGCAGATATGCTTGGTCCAAGCACATGTTTTATGTTGGTTAATTACCTATCAATTAGTAACATCAATGAAATGTCAGAGTTTTGATATTTAGTCCTGCCTAATTCCTCCTGATCCTGAAGGATCAATCTGTGAGGAAATCACTGAGCACAAGGAGGGATATGAAAGTGGAGTTCAGGCTCTTGTCCATACTCTGAAGAACTAGATGCCTGACCAGCTCTCAGCTTCTTAATGAAGCACTTCTACTCTCTCAAACATATACAAATCTATAGATAGAATTGGTCTTATCCTGTGACTATTAGTAACACTTTCAATAAAAGATCCAACTGATATACAATGAAGTAATTTGCTGCAATTATGATTATGTAATGTTGATAATCAGTCCAACCAAAAGAAATAATGAAAGGAACCAAGGAATTTTTATGAAATCAATTAAGTGGAAAGGAAAAAGAGAAAATGGATAATGAGATACTCTAAAGAGCAAGAGTTTCATTTATGTGAACTGTGCTGCAGGGTAGATGGAGCATTTATGAGTGGGCAGAAGTTATCCTTGGAAGACCACTGATCTCACTAACTGGAGATCAGATTGAAGGTAGAAAGATTTTAAACATCAGGTGGGAATAAAGAACTTAGAAGAAAATTACACTCTAACTAAAGATCACTTCAGGATATGTGATAGAGGACATTTTAAGAACATGAAAGTAATTTTTGCCAAGAGAAATCAGGTGGTGGGCAGTCTTAAATTCTTCTACTGCAAGATATTTATGTGTGTAACTTCTGCAAGGACACTGTGAGGGTGTTCAAATACTGGAACAGGTTGCCCTGAGAGGCTGTACAGGCTCTGTCCCTGGTGATGTTCAGAGCCTGACTGGACACAGTCCTGGGCAACCTGCTCTAGCTGACCCTGCCTTCTAAGGAGGTTTAGAATAACTTATCCTGAGAAGCCTTGGAAAATTATGCTAAGCTAAAAAATGCTAAAATAAAAAATCTACCAAGGAAGATAAACAGATTAGCAATAACTCAAATTTTAACTATACTAAAACAAATTAATTGTCCTTTCCTTTGGGTAGACAACTGCAAAGATGCTTATTTTATGCTCCTAAACTAACCTTTCATAGTAGCTTATGATTTTAAGCTTTGCTGGATAGCAAGAGCTGATTTTAGCTGATCTGATCTGTTGCCTGGTTTATTTTTTGCTAGCTGCTTCTTGCTTCACCAGCCTCTATCAGTCTTAGCTATGCTTCGCTCCATTTCTTGACTCACTATATTCTCTAGCTAGCTCCCTGTTTTGCTGCCAGATTTTGCTATTTCAGCTCCTATGAGAGAATGGAGAACAATGAACAAGTCACAGCTCAGCTCACAGGAAATTAGGAAGTAGCTTTTTCTATTCAAACAGCTGCAAAATCTCCTGCTTCTCTGTGTCTTGTCTCTAGACTTAGAACCACATTGCTGGAAGCAACTGTCTAAAATTAATGGGATGCCCAGACAGAGCTAATTAGCTTAATTTTCTGTACACTGCTATAAATGCAAACTTCATCTGCTTTACTATTTAATTTCTTCTTTTTTTTTTAAGTGTAACACAACACAAAGCAGCCATGTTTCGGGCCTCCCCTTTCTTTTCCTTTCTTATGCTTTTTCACCATGTCCACTGCATAGTCCTTTCCTTTTAGTTTGTTTTGTTTTGTTTTTTTTCTCCTGGGTTTGTTCCTTCTAAAACTCATGGGGTATAATGAGATATTGGAAGCTTGCCTTCCTTTAACTACCATACCTTTTGCATTCACATAAACCTTTGGCCAGTGGTGGCCAGAAACTGATGCTGGGCAGATCTGCTTTTATCAGGACTCTCCATCTAAACCATTACCATTACCCAAAAAACAGATTGTGCCAAAAAAATATGATCTCAGTGAAAAATAAGTTTGAAATAAACTCCTATTCTCTGCAGTATCTTCTTGAGAAAGAAGCAATACCTCACATTAAACAATGTCCTCATATTTCATGAAACACTCTGGAGTGCTTTTCCTCTTGGGAAGGAATATGCAATTGTATGCAATGGTATTAGCTGGTAATCCTAGCTATAATATTTATGTTTTAGGACAACTTGTGGCACTCTACAGTCCCTATGTGTACACATAGTAAAAGAAAATCCCTGTCTCAAACAGCATACTGTTTAAATTGACAAGCCGTATGAAGACACGAAAACATTTTCCTCATCCCCATCTTAGGGCTAAATATTCAAAGGCTGGGGACATCAGACAAGTGTTTTGTCACCATAAAGTGGTTTGTTGCTGAATATGGAGATGAGAAGAATCTCAGGTTCATGTTTTATAATAACTAAAATTGTGTGGAAAAATTATTTGAAGAAACACAATCCAAAAGCGGGTGCTCTCCTGGATTCAACTCATTCAGTCTTGTAGGAGAAGGTGCCAGAAGGAAAAATCATCACACACAAATATGCGCTATTAATATAGTATGACAATGTTGTAATTCGATTTTGCTTTCAAATTAGAAAGTTAGGAAGGAAGAAAATATGGACTGGAAAACCTGCAATTAAAGAGCTATAAAATATGGGTTTGAGATGTACATCTGATGGTGTGTGATGAAAGGATTTTTTTAGCTTCTTTGTTGGAGAATGTTTTGTATCTAACACGTGAACAGTCAACCTGGTGTTCTGTAGGCAGTGCCTACATGTAGACAGCTCCCTGTGGGATGCTGGTCCTAGCAATGAAACCCATCCCCACATTGTTCTTGTCTACCACTGGCCCTCCTACCCACAGAGAAGAGTCCTCCTTGTCCACCAGCAGTTTCCACAGCCCTTGAATCAAATGCCTTTGCTGCTTCTGTTAAAAACTTGTTGGGCATGGGTGTTCAGTTGCACTGCTATAGAAAATGCAGTTATAATGCATGTGGAAGTAACTCAGGTCTTACTCTCCAGGGCAGAGCACCCAGTTTATTTGAAGATCTGAGCATGGTCTCTATATCCACATGATATGGCAGTTATTCTGCCTACGCTCTGATGGCGTGAGACCTTCCTGCAAAGGTCTTCAGCTCCTGAAGCAAAATATACTCTGAAGGAAGAACATGGCAGTCTCCAGAAGTTGCTAGAGATCATCTCCTGGACACACAGGGCACCATCTGTACTGAAGTGGCCATACACACAGCTGAGGACTTCTCTGAGCCTACTCTGAGCCCCAGGTTTAAGCAAAAAATGCCTGATATAATGAGAGGGCCACGATGTACCCTGCCAATTTGTTGTTTTCTTGATATGCTGATGAGAATGTGTTTCATGTGCCCTTAGGCTGCCTGAATAGTGTTAGAAGGCTGGCCTGGGTAGTGGAAAGCAACCTTTTCTGTTATTTCCCACTGAAAATTGCTAGCTTCTTTCTACATATATAAACAAAAAGCTGCATTGGATCTGAAGGATGAACAGCTGAAAAGGTGGAAGTCCATAATCTTTCTGTCAGAGCAATAGTGGTAACGGGAACGCAGCGTGAATATCAGTGATTCCCATAGTATCAAACAACATCAAGGAAGAAAATCCATCAGAACTATGAGCTACAAAAAGGCCATTTTTGGCTTAAGAAGCAGTGGCTTAGTGCAGACTGGGAGAGTGTATCAAGAAAGTATTGCTATTTGCTTGCCCTGCTCTTGCATTCTTCCTAGGGGATCTTTTACAAGTCTAATGTTGGAGATGATGAACTGATGGGACGAAACCCTGGGGAGGAGTTTTGATGTGGTTCTTTAATATAGTTTTTTCAGTGTCACCCATTATTCTCTTTCATAACCAAACAAATAAACAAATGAGTTATGCCAGAAGGCTGAATGAGTTGTGGTCAGAAGCTAAGACCTCATTATTATTAATACAATAAGAGTAGCAATAAATTGTCAGTCTTGCTTACAAAAGAGTACGGTCTTTTTAAGAGCTTTGACCTTGACTTTTCCTTAGTCTTGGTGGAAGCTATGTGGGAGAACTGCTGTCTTGCGTCCCCAACCTACTGTACTTCAAAATGGAGGGGGGAGTGTTTTAGAAGCTGAGAAATTGCAAAATGGGACATGTATTCATGCCTGTCTCACTTACCAGGAAATCACTGTGCCTACATAAATTGGACAGGCAGACGACTTTAATGCACTTTGGAAGGAGACCTTTAGGGACTGAAATTGCTATCCTTTGCTAGCAAAGTGGGATGTGGTGTCAGAGTGATTCTTTGCCCAAAATACGTGCACAGAAACAGACACCCATTGACAAGTGCAAAACTGCTTTCAGGATCACCTTATTATTATGCAGAAAAACTGGTGGTCTTTGCTTCTTGCCAACAGGCTTCTGTGCTTAATGCTGTATGGGAGCAAACAGTTCACAGCATAATGAATCAGGAGGCAGAGCAGTGCTTAGATGGTCTTTTAATGGTGAATAATTTTAACCCATGTTGTTGGAGAGGGTGGACCCAGCTGGTGTT